TAGGGATCCCGTGATCGTAATCGTTCATCATATATCATGCATTTAGAAATCATTTCAAAATTTGAATTTTAAAATTAAATATAAACAATGCCTAATGAAAACTGACCGCACGATATACGATGAACAATCACGATCATCCCTAGGAAAAGGATCTGGCGAGGATTGTTTTCCCTAAAATGATTGAAGGTGGACTATCTCAAGGATCACTTCTATCGATTTTAAAACTTATGGACAAAAGTTATGAGTTATGACAATCTCAAAGACTATTTTAACTAAAATGTTTATTTTTTTATTTTTTTTAGTACATCGATATTTTTACACTAAGGAAAATGGAAGTTTGGCTAAGTCACACAATGGACAGCATAATCTGGTATTGAATTCGTCATCCACAAGATTTGAACCTAAGACCTCGTACTTCCAAGTGAAGATGAATACCATCAGACCGTAATGCTAAGGTTAAATTAATTTTTTTTTATTTTTTGCTTAATTAATTGTAGTGAATGAGGTGGCTGAGAGGCTGGCATTTTTTGCAATTGCGGTGAACATGGTGCGTTATTTGGTATACGAGATGCGACAGTCGCTGCCGACAGCGGCGACTCATGTGACGAATTGGATCGGAGCTTCTTACGTCCTCACACTATTTGGAGCCTTTATAGCCGATGCTTACTTGGGCCGCTTCAAAACCATCATCACTTTCTCTTGTATCTATGCTGTGGTATGAAAGCCCATTTCCATTTTCATTTTGGATTTTCATCAACTTTGTTAGGCCCACAAGCCATATTGGGCTGAAATTCAATTAATTGCACCCATTTGGGACTAGTGTGAAGTGATGGAACTGTTTTTTTTTTTTTTTTTTTTTTTTTTTTTTGACAAGGGTTTTTTTAGGGTAGCTATGTTTACTTCTCACACATTTTTTGTTAATTTTTTTTCCTTTGATGTTTTTCAATTCTTTCAATCCGACAACTGGAAATTGAAAAGGATATGTGGAAGATAAAAAGGGTAACATCAACCATTTTAATCACAAATGGTCCTTCATCTCTTACCATTTCATCAGTTTAGTCTTTGATATTTCGAACTCATCAATTTCATCATGAACGCTCTCTAGACATAATTTGTCAATGTTCTCTACATGAAACACTTGAATTTTTCAATAAATAGCTTATGAACGTAAGTGCTTCCTGCAAAAGGCCTTACTGCTTAATGTGAAAATAGGTTTAAAACTCGAGGATGTATACATAATTCAAAATTTATGGTTAAATTTCCTCAAAAAGACTTTATGGTAAAATTAATGTTTGGATGTATTGATGTAAAGTGAAAACTAATTAAAATCTCAATGAATGTTGACATATTTTCTAGAACTTCAATAAATCTTGTGAAAACAGAAAAATTCTCAATAGAAGTTGGTGTAAGTTTAACTAACCCAATGTTTTTCTTATAGGGTATGGTCTTGTTGACAGTATCAGCCTCCGTGGACAGCCTACGTCCACAGCCATGCACGGTTGAACCGTGCAGCCAAGCTACCAGCGGACAGACTGCCTTCCTCTACGGCGCACTCACTCTCATCGCCCTTGGAACCGGTGGCATAAAACCATGTGTTTCGTCCTTTGGGGCCATCAATTCGACGAGGCTGATTCAAAAGAAATGGTAAAGAAATACTCGTTCTTCAATTGGTTCTTCTTTGCCATAAACATGGGCGTACTATTGGGGATCACGGTGCTGGTTTACATACAAGACAACAAGGGGTGGACTTGGGGTTTTGTAATCCCGACCGCGTTCACGATGTGCTCCATTATCATTCTAGCCACCGGTGTTCCGTACTATCGTTATCAGAAGCCTATGGGGAGTCCTTTCACTAGATTCATTCAGGTTGTTGTGGCCTCAGTGAGGAACCATTTGAGCGGAGTTGAGGTGGTGCGTGATGCTCAGCTCTATGAGGTTAAGACCGACGAGTCTGACATCCTGGGTGCACGGAAGCTAGCGCACACTGCACAGTTCAAGTGAGTCTTAATATGTCTCGTTTTTGGGCTGCATGGCCATGCTCATATAATTAAGTTCTATCTTTTGTCAGATAGTATGTGTACAGAATGTTTTTTAGTCAAAATGGTCATGAGATTTTCATGACTCCTCACTTTGATCCCTCAAATTTAAAATTAATGGAAGTGATCCCTGAGATTGACGAGATGTCTATCGTCAATCATTTTGGTCATTCTGTGAAGAATATCCGTTAAATTGAAGAAACCACATGTTTAAGGGGAGGTGTTCATTTAAAAAAAATTACCCTCAATTTAACAGACATTTATTAAAAGAATGATCAAAATGATTGACGATGGACAATATCAAGAACCACTTCCATCGATTTTAAATGTCAAAGACCAAAGTGAGTAATTATATGTTAATCTCATGGACCATTTTTGATAAAAGCCCCACATAACCTGTTTTGTGTATTGTGCGCTAGCTTAATGAGCGTGAACTTGCTGAGAAATGCAGTATCAAGATTGTGAATTAACTGTTTTAGAATCCCATTTGTGTGATTTAGGTAAGTTATACGTTAATTAGCCACTTAATTAACTTGTTAATGTGCAGGTTTTTGGACAAAGCAGCTGTGATGACAGACCCAGACGGCAACCCAAAGAGTCGTTGGACGCTATGCACAGTGACCCAAGTCGAAGAATTCAAATGCTTCATTAGGGTTCTCCCCGTATGGGCATCAACCTTAGCTCTCGCCATCTCATTCGCTCAACTCTCAACTTTGTTCGTCAGCCAAGCCATCAAAACCGACCGTAAACTCGGCCACCACTTCGAAATCCCCCCAGGTTCTGTCCCTGTCTTCGCGGCCATCAACGCCTTAATCCTCATCCCCCTTTATGAAAAGTTCATTGTTCCCATCATTCGCAAACGCACAGGCCACCCGCGTGGCCTGACGTCGTTACAACGAATGGGGGTCGGACTCTTTATCTCAATCTTCGCCGTGGCCTCGGCTGCCTTGGTTGAGAAGAAGCGCCGAGACGAGTTCAGTCCTTTGAGAAAAATGAGCGTGTTTTGGTTGGTTCCACAGTTTTTTCTCATTGGAACCGCCGAGGTGTTTACGTACGTTGGGCAGTTGGAGTTTTTTTACGATGAGGCCACGGACGGTACGAGGAGCATTAGTAGTGCGATTTTTCTGAGTGAGATTGGGATCGGGAGTTGGCTGAGCACGGTGCTTGTTAAGATCATTGGGCGTGCAACCGGCGGAGAACAAGAAGGGTGGCTGAGGAATGATTTGAATAAGAGCAAGCTTAATTACTTTTATTGGATTTTGACCGCCATTAACGGTGCTAATTTCTTGGTGTATTTGTGGGTGGCTCGGCGTTACAAAGGCAGGGACGGTACGGGCACTAGCGTGACAGATGGGGACGAAAAGTGATGAGATATATAGTTTGAAAGTGTCATACAATTTGACAGTGTATTAATTAGTTTCTTCAATATATGGTCATGCCATTTCCAATAAAGATTCATTTAAGCTTATATTTCTTGATTTTTTTTTTTCAATGATCGAAATTGAATAATCACTATAAATACTTTGACAATATACACTGATGTTAATTTTTATATATTTTCTTAGAATGTTTACAGGACTAATGGCAGGTAACAATTCAACATTTTTTTTTTGTCATGAAGGAGGGGAGTCAAAATATCTGTTTGAGCCTTCATCAGTGGTTTAGGTGAATATGATACTTATATATAAGAATCAGATACCGTAAGTTTAATTCGTACTACACTTGCCATAGTGCTTGAGTTTTATATCTTAAACATTGTGAGACCCATCGACTTTTCATTTTCTCTTTTTATGGTTGAATATCTATTTTCTCTTTCTTATTATTTATGATACAGATATCACACTTATGAGTTCAATATATTGAGCTCAAAAATAAAACTCACTCTCATAGCACTCAAATTTTCCAATTCACTGTGAAAGGCCTTAGATGCAAAAAGCGTGTAATTTAGCTCATTAAAAGTATGTATATGTGTGTGCGTGTGTGTGTAAGTTCGATTTCATTCTCTTACTGATATTCCTTGTATAAAGAAATACATACTTTCACGGACAATAGTCCTGGAACATGATACAAAATAACTAACTACTTGCACAATGCTCTAATATATGGGGCTAAATGAACACAATTGATGCCATTCACATCACTAAAAGGAAAAGCAGCTTTCCATTATAAAAGGAATGACTGCTTCTTACAAAAAATTACAAAAAAAAAAAAAAAGAAAACCTAATGTCATTACTATTATGGACCCCTTTCAAGTTTCAAATAACGTACCCTTTGCTGATGTGATTTAGGATCTTACAATAATCATGCATCAAATCTTTACCTGCAATTTTGTCACCACACTAACTTAAAGAATTGTAAATAATTATACTTTTAATAGGAGAAGCTAAAATACTTATTTGAGTCTTTTAAAAGAATAAATAGCCACAGCAAAACCACTGGTTGATTATTTTTTAATATAAAAAAGCTTGATATCAGATTTTTCTTATGGAGGCAGATTGTCTGCACTCCTGTTTGGATGCTCTTCTCATTCCCTTCTATTTGTGCAGTCACAGTTAATTCACGTCAACATTTTATTTTCCCATTGCTTTTTGTCTAATTATCTTTATAAAAAAATCAATACAAAATGTTGATATGGTTTAATCGTGACCACACAAAATAGGAAGGGATGAGAAGAGCACCGAAACAGGAGAGCAGACAATCTGCCTCCTTTCTTATTGTGATTATAAAGACACGAGTTGAGGTGATTGTGATATAAATAGTGATTTTTTTCCCATCAAAGTCTAAGGTTAGTTTCAAAATGGATCACGAGGATGTGATTTTCTAACATTGCACCTCTTATAAAATTAAATTTTCGTGGCTCATTTTGACTTGATTCCAAACTTCAATGGTGTTAAATGTACTTCGACCATATGAATTTGTTTGCTGTGATTTGAAGAGCATGAATTTAGCCAGCTTTGACTACAGTGTAGGAAAACCTTTTTCATTTAATCAAACCATAAAATTAACATATAATTAAAGCATTTGAGATTTAAGGCTCTGAGTCCCCCACATAGCTGACAATGATCATGATGAATATATTCATCCCCCTGAGATCTCTCCCTCTCTTTGATTTTCCCCCTTCTCCCCCTACTAAAGAAAGTGATTGAATAAAAGTGAAAAAACAAAGAGAAAAAAAAAAAGAAGAAGAAAGAACACCTTCATTACACACACAAAGCTTTCTGATATATTATATAGCTACGGCAGAAATTTTTTGTTGTCCCCCTGATATCTCTTGAAGGAGAAAGGCCCAAGATTGTCGCTAAAAGTTGGAAAATGGCGATCAAACATTTTCGGTGGATGGGGGGATGAGCGGCTGAGTGAGGGACGTCTTGGTTTGGATTTTCCTGTTGTTTGTGTGCTCTGGAGGGGACTGGAGTCCAGTCCTGCTGCTTCCTTGAGCAATTAGCTGAGCAAACTTTCTTTCTTCGCTTTTACCCCACAGCACTAGGTATAGTCCCACTATAATCAGCACTGCCCCAATGATCCTGTCCAATATTGTAGAAGACCAATATTTAAGTATATGTATATTCCACGACAACAAAGATGTGACCAAATTGTGATGCATGTGTTTTACATGAACTTCTGAATCATTCAAATCTTGTTCGTTTATTATTTATATATATCTTTGTTTTCAAGTGTAAACATAATATTTTACAAAAAATTAGTATATATGTGGCATTTGAAACACGTATAGATATCAAATTTATGTAAAATGGAGTATAAATTCTGAGGAAAAGTACAAGAAAAACACATGTTAAAACACATGAAATGTTATTATGTTATATATATATATATATATATATATATATTACTTGTTTTGACTTGTCAACCTATGTGTCAATGAATCTAACCCGTTTGAATGGATATTCTATAAAGAGAAATTGTGATGACTTGATTAGAATAACTCTAACTCCCACACTATAATAGAATCAGTGTGAAGTTAAGTAGGACAAAATGAGAGTTCATGTTTGTGTACTGCCATACAAAAGACGTGATCGGAAACCCTACTCAAGTTTCTATCTATTCTATGGCTTTCTCTTCTAATATCATACTAATGGTGTTGGGCTGCATAGATTAAGTAAATGTTGGGTACAAACAGTGGAGGGTAATGATGAACGTCAGAGAGAGAGAGAATGATGAAATGAGACGGGAATGATTATTTTTAGGGTTTAATGGACCCAGGTGGTGGTGGTGGTCAGGAGTATGAACTACTTACCCGCCCAAGTAGAACTCTTCGCCTAAAGCGACGGAGGCCATTATAGCGACAACGAGGGTCTGAACAGGCTGATATACGGCCACAAATACAGGGCCCCCTCTGTCGATGCACCATATCTGTACAGCGAATGCGATCCCTGATGCAACCACTCCCTGCAATTGCAATTATACATATACAAGTCCTATTAATTAACCACAAACAAAAATATGTAAGGAAAAAAAGGAAGAGCAAAAAGAGAAAAGATTTAAACAATATCATTTGTTTCACTTTCATGCCCACCACCCTGCATTATTGTGTTTGAACCCTAGAAGCTTTTTAAGTTAGAAGCAACCGGTTCACACATGAACAAGTTGTGCCTTTTATTTATTTTATAACTAATAAGACTTTAACTTTGTCCTTCTGACTTCTTTGGTTAACTAACCAGAAAAATATGGCACATGACACCATACTAGAGAGGAAAAAAAAATTCATCTTCTAAATTGGGTTGAGCGTGTTACATAATAAGAAAGATAAGGAAAAAATGTCGCATTCCTTCGCATAAATTTTATTTTTTATTTTTTATTTTAATTTAGCACACTGTAGTATATGTTTATATAAAGTATAAACAAGTAACCTTTTTTAAAAAAATAAAAAATATATATAGGCGTTTTTCTTTTCATAAGTTGGGTGCGGATTCAACCTAAAAGAGAAATAGCTAGTTAATTAAGAAGGCGTTTTAGTTTTAGTTGAGGATTAGGAGATTTTCATCGATCGTATATATACATATATAATTTAGTAATGATCTTAGCTACTAAGTACTTACCGCGTAGAGGATGCTGAACACTTCACCACCGTTGTGAAAGATCCAAGCCTGATAGTCTCTCTCAAAAACGGCAGCAATAATAATGAACTGTATGAGACCAAAGAAACACGTGTACGTCGTTACCGAGAGCCGAGCTGGGTACTTCTTCAGAACCGGGGCTTGTAGCACCAGCCAGCCGGACCACGACAGGCAGTGCCCGATGAGGTACAGGCAGCCCAGTGTCCAGCTCTTTCCATTTGCATCGCCGAGCGATGAGAGAGTCGACACTATTGCTGATGAAGAAGCTGATGAGATTGCAGAGGCGGTAGTTCCGCTCATCAGGCTCATCATCTGGAGTGGAGGAGTTGGGCTGTATATGGTGGGCCCCTTGTATAGAGTTATTACAGACGCTCCAGCGACGCAGAAGACCGTTCCGACCACCTTGGCGATACCATCTTTGCGGTTTAGTCTTACGTGCTCTATCCTGCAAAAGTGACGCTGACAAAGTAAGTGTGTGTGTGTGTGTGTGTATTGATGAAAAACTTGGAATAAAAATATTATGACTTATTATTTAAGTTAATAAATTAACGTTACCGGAGTATGGCTGCCATGAGGAAAGTGATGGCGGGGACGGAGTTCTGGATTGCAGAAGCAAAGGTGGGTGATGTGTTGTCCAACCCCAGCAAGTAAAATCCTTGGTTTGCTGTAATTCTGTAAATTAAGAAAATAATTAAAGTGAAACAAAAGGTGATTATTAAATAGTTAATTAGCAGAATATATGTGTCTTGGCTTCTCAAATGTGTAATTTTTTTTTTTTATCATACCCAATAAGTGCAAGCAGGAAGAACTGAATGAGAAAGTTTAGAGTAATTGCAGGCCTGTCCTTCCTGATGAAGCAAAAAATCAATAACAAGTTGAACACGTTAATTAATTAATCTCCATTATGCAATATTTATTAATTATAAATAAGCACAGACTGCTTTTCTCTCCTTCTCGCTGATGTTTATTTCTTTTCTTTGGATTGAGTTAATAAAAAAAAATCAGTTGATAGAAATAAACATGCTTGAGCAGCATAAAGAGAAAAGAGATGCGCCGAATTTTTTTATTTTAAAGATATGCGTACTTCTCTAGAAAATAGGCAAAAGGAAGGAGGAGGAGAATAGCGATGATGTTTCTGTAAACTGGGAAGACAAGCTTGCTAATGCCCATGTTTAGGGCAGCTCTTGAGACGACATGGAAACCAGCGTAGCCAAACTGCAAGACCAGCATGGCGCCATGCAGTTGGAGCCTCTCAGGCACCGAACACATTCTCTTTGCAGAGGATGAGCCTACTGCGTCAGCCATTGGTTAATCGCCTAATTAATCTAGCTGATTAAGCTAGAAAATGGAGATTAACAACGTAAGACAAGAAAGAGGAAGAAGAAGAGAAGTGGAGGTGGAGAGTTAGGGATGGAATTAGAGATATAAATATAGAGAGGAAGGGGGGAGTCAACAGAGTCAAGAGATAGAGTGAGGAGATGGATGTGGGTCCCATGTGGGTCCAACAGGGCCCTAAAATGATATTTTGTCAACTGTTGCTAACCTTCAAATGTTTTTATTTGTCTCCCACATTCACATATATTCTGCTTGGCTGACAAGACAACTCTCCAATGGATCGCACTACTACTAATATGGAAAAATAAAATGAATTTAAAATTAAAATTCTTAATCAATGATTAGTGTACACTATTATGAATGCACCTATATGAAGATTAGGTAAATATACAATAGGAAATAAAACATAATAAGAAACAGAGGTAAATTACGTTCAATTCTAAAGATATTTTATGGACACTTTCAAAATTTAATTGTGCACTCTAAATTTTATATATTTAAAAAGAAAATTACTTATATAAAAAATACTCAATTAAATTTTTAGAGTATCATTTTTTGAATTGCACTTCACGCCAACAAATGGTAGGTATATTATGTTGATACATTTCATTGTGTGCACAACCATAACAATATACCTAATTTAAATTACCAAACAAGGAAATATTATCTAATGGAATTACCATAAAAAACCTAATTAAAATTACCAAAAAAATAAAATAATAATACGCCTGATTCAAAGAACGAAAGTCAAAATCTAATCTACTACCTTGACTTAGTAAAAAATATATCTTAAAAGGTTAAAAATGTAAAAGCCCAAAGGGCTTAAACAGATTCTCTATTTTGGCAGCACGCTATTGATGATGATAATCGAGGGGAAAGAGCTCGCCATCGTCCAATTGCATGATCCATGAAACATAGCGCGCACGAGTACCATACGTTCTCATCCCCTGTGAAACCCTAGAACCCCACCACCACCACCCATCCCCATTCCCTCAACCCCCCTCCCCCCTTAACCAATATATATATATATATATATATATATATGAAAAATCCCACTTTCCTCCTGTACAAGTCTCATCATTTCTTGTATTGTATCTGTACAGGTGCACAAATATAGTTTTAAGGAGAAATTAGGTTCACATTTTCATTTTGCTGCTACTACATTGATTAAAACCCTATTTATTTTTAATTTTTGATCAAGTCCTTGAGTATTAATAACATCATTAATTATTTGAATAATAAAATATTTTTATTTTTAAATATATTCCCTTAGTGTTAAAAATGTTACAATTAGTATATCTATATTTATGGCTAAATTTTTTATCATATATTTTTATTTTTAGTTTGTACCTATTTGTAATTTGCAAACCTTTTTAAATTTGTACCAATTTTCTTTTCATTTTTAATTTGTACCCATATATTAGTTTCTTGTTGTGCCCATATTTTTTTAAAGTTTTATTTGCATTTGTACCCATATGTTTACCGTCATGTGACATTATATATTTAGTCAATGACAGAAAAATTACATATGGTATATTTATGTTTTACAGTTAAACTTTGTATCATATATTTATATTTTTAGTTTGTACCCACTTCTAATTTGCAACATTTTTTTTTTAATTTGTAGTATTTTCTTTTTAGTTTTAATTTGTACCCATATATTAATTTCTTTTAGCGCCCATATTTTTAAAAAATTCATTTGTATTCATAATTTTTTAATAATTTATTTGTACCCTAATTTATTTATAATGTACTCATCCTTCTTTATTTAATGTACCACTTTGTTATATGTGAAATATATCATTTTTTTTGCAACATGCACCAATTTTTTTAACACTATGGATACATTCTTTTGCCATTTATTATTTTTTATTGTTACATAGTTTTTATCCATTTATTCAATAAAATGTTTGAATTTTTTTATTGTAACCGTTTCTAATAGTATTATAATGAGGGACTTTAAATTTATAGGATTATAAATCTCATAAAATATCAAACAATTAATGTCAAAACTATAAAAATAAAAATATTAATATTAATATAATGAGGTGTACAAAGTCAAGGGACTTTGATCAAATTTTGAAAACCATTAAGGTTTTAGTCAAAAAATGTTTAGAATTAGGGACCGCATCTGAAGTATCCCACTATAATATAGGAAAAATACTTAGACTTGTTCTTCTGGGAGTAGTCATTTCCAGGCATGCTGATTCCTCCTTGTAAGAATTATTTTGGGCAACTCTAACGTACTATATGTCACATCCGGGCCCGGGGCGGATCACTTCCCGGGCCCGCTCCACCACCAAACTATAGCTTTGGTTTCTGAAAAATTTAGGTTAGTAAATTTACGTATAATACACTTACGAACTTATTCTTCAAAAGTATTTCCTGTATCCATGCATATTTTAATGTTTCATTATATCGCACGTCTTTATAATTCTGAAGTACTATACATATATCATACACGAACATATGTATTTTTACGTTTAAAACATGTTATTTTGACACTTTTTTCAACATATGATTACATTTTATATACATATTTTTAACATATTATAGAAGTAAATGAATAATTTTAATGAAAATATTAAAATAGTTTAACAATCTTGCTCCTAATGAGTATCATACTAATTCAACAAACAGTTTATACATTATTGCTTCTATTGAATATAGTACTCACTCAGAAAAGAATTATTGTAAAAGGAAAAATATAACTAATATATAAAAAGAAAGAAAGAAAATGATTTCCATTTCCTATTATTGTTCAATATTACGTAGCACTAAATGATAATGTCTGAGTTTAAAAATATAAATTATAATAATCAAAGCAAGCAACAAAAAGATCGTTTAACTTGAAAGGTGCAGCCACGACAGCCAAATATAACGGCTAAAACTCTTGCAACACCAACTTATATGTAACATTAAAGTCACACCATAACATTGAATCTTAACGAGTCAAAGATGGACTCGACCAATCACTGGCTCGAAAGATTCTCTCGTGCAAAGAAAATCTAATTTTATCTGTCATGGATGTACTTATGCACCTGAAAAGAGAATGGAACAGAGCAAATGCAAGTTAACATCACAGGAGGTGGATTGTCTGCCCTCCCATTTCCATACTCTCCCCATGCCCTTCTGTTTGTATGGTCACGGTTAAGTCACTTCAACATTTTATATTTCTATTACTTTTTGTTTTATTATTTCTATAAAAAAATTAATATAAAATGTTGACGTGGCTTAACCGTGACCACACATCACAGGAGGGCATGGGAATAGTATGGAAATGGGAGGGCAGACAATCCACCTCTAACATCAGAACTGGGTTGGTCGGGGTGGTGTTCGATTGGTTCATGCAGGCCAGGTCAGATCACCCCGTCCTTCTCTTCCAAAACCCTAGCCTTTACAATAAACAGTACTTTTACAAAAGTCCTATTTGCTGTCAGAAATGAGAAATTTTTCGGCGTGTTAAGAATACGGTCTGATAAATTAAGTGTCACAATACAAGTGGTTGATAAATATATATATATATATATATTTTTTTAATATCCAACCACTTTTATTGTGATACTTAGTGTATCAAACTGTTTTTCGTACACTAAAAAATCTCTTGTTAGTTAACAACACCTTTTAACGATAAAAAAAAAAAACCCCATAATTAATTCAAATTAATAAATATATTGTTCCTGGGCAGGCCTTTGGTTCCTTTTGAACTATAGAATGATGGCGGTCTCAATTGAGGGGAGGCAGCATGTCTCTTAAAGTGAAGAGGATTCATATCACCATATCACAACACAACCTACACAATTGATCGAGCAAAACTTCATTAGGTTTCCTTCGGGTGGCCAGTCAGCAGTGGGAGAATATTTTTACTAGCTCTCACTTAGTGGAAACACTTCATTAGGTTTCCTTCGGAGGAGGATCAATGCATCATCAAACATCTTATTAAAATAAATTAAAGACACTTTAATTCTGAAGGGTGCTTTAGATTTAACCCCTTACAACTGTTGAACTCTAGACATAAACCCACATATATTAAAACATCAAAATAAAGCCCAAGTTTTGAATTTGATGCCATGTAAGATAAAAGATGTTCATACATTTAAATTTATTTACAAAACCATACCACCAACATTAATATGGCTATTATGGTTTTTTTTTTTTGTAGACTTTTAATTTATTGTCTTTTGTTTGTCAACAACATTCAATTAGTTTAAGTTTTTTTTTTGCGTTTAATTTTTTTTTTTTTTTGAAAAAAAGAAGAAGTTCTTTTCTTCTTTTATGTGATATCGCCTAATCCAAATCTAATTAGTTCAATATCATTTCAATTGAAAAAGTAGATACATTAACTTGTGAAAAAAAAAAAAAAAGAAGGTAAAAATAAACTAGTAGATACATTGTTTCTTGTAAAAACTAAACAATAGTTACATTATTTTCATAAAAAATAAACAATATGTAAATTTTTTTTTTTAAAATTACACAATAGGTACACAATTTTTGTAAAAATTAGGTACTTTATTTTTGGAAAAAAAAACTAGTAGAAACATTGTTTCTTTTAAAATTAAACAATGAATTTATAAGGTAAATTAGTTTGCATGTATTTTGCATATGTGGGTTTGTTATTATGTAGGTAAAATATTTTTCATGTATTTTACATATACTGGGTATATTATTTTTCTTCTTTTTTTAAGCAATTTAACATTTTAAAATTTTAATATAGTAGGTGCACTATTTGAATCAAATGTTTTTTTTTTTGTCAGTATATTATTTTCATGAATTTTAAATATATCAGGCATTTATATATATATATATATATGTGTGTGTGTGTGTGTGTGTGTGTGTGTGTGAAATATTTACCTACATTGATATGTAAAATATAATTTATTGACTTAATTAAGCATGTATAATAACATATATTAGACATGTTTTATGTTATTATATATTAGGCAATGAATTTATAACATTAATGTTTTTTTTTTTTTGTAAAATTATTAATTCTCTCTTACCATCCATCCACATGGCATTAATTGTATACATCAAACATTCAAATAGGGTT